TGATTTAACATTTTTCTGTATGATTTCACCATGCTTCAAATGTTTACATAATATTATAATTTACACCAATATTCAATGTATATATATATATATACTAACATTTAAATTGTCAACAAAAAACAATAATAAAAACAATTAGTACACACAAATAAATAAGTTAGATTGTAAGAAAGATATTTATAAATATATACAGACAGCACTCATAGAATTAATAGTAAAATACATAATCATTAATACTTCAATATAATCTATCAAATGTCAGTAAAATCATTTTAAATTCAATCAAATGTCAGTAAAATCATTTCAAATTCAATCAAATGTCAGTAAAACCAATCAAATGTCAGTAAAATCATTTCAAATTCAATCAAATGTCAGTAAAACCAATCAAATGTCATTAAAATTATTTCAAATTCAATCAAATGTCATAATAATGATTTCAAATTTAATCAAATGTTCAACATGTTACTTGTTAATCCTATAATATTCAATCAAATGCTTACATATAACATATAATATTCAATCAAATGTAACATTTAAATCCTATAATATTCAATCAAATGTTAACATGCAACATTTGAATCAATAGTATTCAATCAAATGTTTACATGCAACATCTCAATCCAATAACATTCAATCAAATGTTGGTAAAAACATAACATTTTGATGATTAGATATTCAATCAAATGTTGGTAAAAACATAACATTTTGATGATTAGATATTCAATCAAATGTTGGTAAAAATGTAACATATAATTTAATATTCAATCAAACTTTGATATTTCATTTTTCAATAAAACATTATTATCAATTATCATGGAATTCGGGTCTTAACATTTATTTTTCAATGGTTTCTAAATTGGTTTTTCTGATTTACATACAAAACTTTCCACAAATTAAAAAAAAAAATATTAGTAAATTGTTTACAACTGAAACTGTTTGTTATAGTTTACAGTTTGGTAGGCTGTAACAATTACATAGAATGACTATACATCTAAGCTGATGGTTTATTAAAATCTAATCAATATATCTAAAATATCAAATACTCTATATCAATATAAGAGTATAGGTTTTAAAGAGACAGATGCACCATTTTTACCAATCATACCTTAGTCTCAGGAGCATTTTTTAGCTAAACCAATCAGTAATAGTGTTCACAGCTCACCATCAAAATTTTAGTTTTTAAATCCATGTGTGCCCCGAATTATTGAAATTTGAACTAACGAGTCATCTTTATACATATTCAAGACTCAAATCAATCCCCCAAAATGGCGCATCTGTCCCTTTAAATCATAAAACATTTCCAAATACTACAACTAGATATTCTAAATAGAGATCAACAATCTACTTTTATTAAAATACTTGAATATAATTAAGTGAACATATTAAACCCATAAATTGAGTAAATGAAAGAATAAATTTAACGAACATACATGTAAAATATTTCATGAACATACATGTAAAATATTTCATGAACATACATGTAAAATATTTCATGAACATACATAAAATATCATAGTAAAATATCACACAGTGATTCAAAGAGTGTGTCTGTTAAATATACACGATAGCAAAAAGCATAAATACAAAAATGTAATAATTTACATTATGTTACATAAATTCAAAGAACATCTATTTAGTTACACATGAATTCTGATGAGCATAAATGTAATAATTTACACAGAAACTCAAAGAGTGTGCATGCAAAATATGCTCTCAAGACACAAATGTAATACACCGAACTTTGAGAGCATATTCTACATACAATCTACGTTATAGCACACAAATTTCCAAGAGCATAGATGAAATATTATACAGTAACTCATAAAGTGTTCTGTATCTTAAAGAGCATAAATGTAAAGCATTGTACATACAGGCAACTTTGAGAGCATATTCTACATACAATCAAACAGTCTCATGTAATTACACACAATTCTCTGAGAGCATAAATGTAATATTACACAGTGACTCATTAAGTGTTCTGTATCTTAAAGAGCATAAATGTAAAACATTGTACATACAGGCAACTTTGAGAGCATATTCTACATACAATCAAACAGTCTCATGTAATTACACACAATTCTCTGAGAGCATAAATGTAATATTACACAGTGACTCATTAAGTGTTCTGTATCTTAAAGAGCATAAATGTAAAACATTGTACATACAGGCAACTTTGAGGGCATATTCTACATACAATCAAACAGTCCCTATGTAATTACACACAATTCTCTGAGAGCATAAATGTAATATTACACAGTGACTCATTAAGTGTTCTGTTCTGTATACATCATCTTGAAGAGCATAAATGTAATATATTATACATACATGCAACTTTGAGAGCATATTCTACATACAAATCAAAGAGCATCTATGCAACTACACCAATCCTTCAAGAACATACATGTAAAATATTAGACACTGAATCGAAAAGCAAGACATCTATTCATCTGATAAAATTGCATACCTAAATAAATTTTGCCCATTTATTAATAACAATTATATCATACACTAATAATTATTCAATTTCAAAAATAAAGGAAAAGTGAATTAGTGTTACAAAGAGTTAAATCTAAAAAAATCAGGGAGAAAGTATTCAAAGCATTGATATTTAATCTCTTATGAAAAAAAGTGTCAAAATATAAGATAAATTTCTTTCAGAAATGGGAAAAATTGATTTTAACAATTTACAAGAAACCAACAGTTCTGTTAGGAGGCCAGGGTGGCTTGCTTGCTAAAACCAGAAGGTCTTGGGTTCAATCCCTGTATAGGTCAACATAATACCTTCAAATTTTTCAACCAAGTTTCCCCCGATCAGTGATGCAGGTAAGAGGGACGGACATGGAAAAAGTGTTTAGTCATTCGACTGGGTCAATAAACTGAGGCCCTGTGTGCTACAGGTTGTGTATGTTAAAGATCATTCAACAGTTGGGAATTGAAAAAGAGTAGGTTAATGCTGCTGTCCTGCTCAAATTTCTTTCATTGCACACTGCATGGCGTTGTCTGTCTTCATAAGCCCAATTAGGTACAGAAAACTAGGACATAAAACACCATTCATTTCATTTATCAATTCAGTTACTAATTAAGTCTTGAAATACATTTGATAGGGGTTGACAATTTTGATGAAAACGTAGGTATCACAAGAATGATATATTTGAATGGAAATAGAATATGGGATCAGTAAGGATTGATTTAGTAAGGTCTCAATTATTGAACTTGAATCATGCTGTACTCAAAACACGGTTATTTTGGATTATTGATCATCAAATTTCATAATTGATTAAATATGAAAATTAAATCTTTTCCTCGGGTATGTTGTTAGGTCAGCTATTACTACTTGTAGTACACTACAAAAGTTTCCCTTTAGCACATACTCTTCTGATGATAAAATATAATAACTGATCAAAATTATACAACGACACAAAAATAACCCATGGAAGTAAAATTTTGACAAGTTTTTTATTTTTTAACTGATTTCTCAATTCAAATATATCGATGATTAATCGATTATTGATCGATACGTTGCTGTCGATTAATCGATTTCAATTTTGTAATCTATAGCCAGCCCTAATTGTTATCCTAGCATATTACATTACAAGATGTAAAGGATAACAATTATAAATACCCTGGTTTCAAGTGCTGGTGATAACAAAATAGGTTTTAAACCGAAAGGTTTTTATCAATAAATAATGTAAATAATTATCTAAAAGAAAATATATTAAATAAAATGGTTTTGAATATGAATATTTACATGACAGGCTACAAATTATTCTAATAAATCACAAAATTTACATTTCATTTTACCCTTGAGAGCAAGTGCATTCTAAACTATAGAATGAATTGATAGAATCCACTATGTACATTATACTCTTTTCTGAACTTTCGTGGGTCCGATCATAAAAAGAAATAACAACATAAGAAATACTATATAGCAATTTGTATTCAGTTATTATCTACTGAATTTTGAGATTGGAACCTATGTTAAAAATACTTCCTCTGAGAATGATTCAAAAATTTAAATTCTCAAACTTGAAATAAAGAGTATATATTTATTGATGATGTCATACATATACAATAGTATCCCTTGTAATCCAATAAATCAAGTAATTATCCATAAAACTACAACATATTTGTTAAGTGTTTTTCAATAATGACTTAGTTTTATGGATTATAAGTAATTATCCACAAAACTACAAAGTGTTTTTCAATAATAACTAAGTTTTATGGATTATAGGTAATTATCCACAAAACTACAACATATTATTTTAGCGTTTATCAATAATGACTTAGTTTTATGGATTATAAGTAATTATCCACAAAACTACAACATATTTTTTAAGTGTTTTTCAATAATGACTTAGTTTTATGGATTATTAGTATTACTTAGTACTGATAAATATATACCCTTCTTGGCCAGGTTTGAGAATTTATAATCTATGTTCATTGGAAGAGGTAGTATCCCTTAACCTAACTGTGATATAGCCATGCCTTCTTTCGCCTCAGTAAAATGTTATATACACATACAGAATCCAAATGGTCACACACTGCAGGAAAGATAGGTTATAATAACTAAAAATGATCTCAAATTATTATGCTACAAGAAGGAAGAATCAGCTAACTTATAGACCTTATTCACGCCTGCTTTTGAGACACTGAAAGCGAGGTTCATAACACAAATCATGTCATCCATCGATAAGATGTGAATAAACTTAATAACTTAATCAACTCCAATTTAAATGATGTAAGATATGATTAGTTTTGAGTTACTAGGACTGGAGAAGGAGACTTTAAAGACGCCAAGGTGGCGATTTTACTGCAGTGACACCACATTACCTAAGTTTGTTTGCGTTTGAGCCTCATCTGGATCCAACATGGCCGACGCGTGAATAATGGTCTATTGAGTTGGCTGCTTTTTTCTGGTGTTGCTGAAGTCACATTTACAGAACAGCGCTAGGTTTTGAATCTTTCAAGGAATCAATGAGGTGAGGAGCAAATCACAGAGTTTAATTCCAGGTTGCACCAGGAAGTTTCCTCTCCAATATATATGCCTTCATTTCTCCTTTACCTTTCACAGTGATTTCTCCACGATAGGAAAACTCAAATTTGTCACCAAGCAACTCAGCTGCTGCCTCAGGAACTTGAATTCTGTCTTCAACACCCGTGGAGTACATACGACTAGCAATGTTCACAGTATCACCCCAGATATCATATAAAAGCTTGGTTGTTCCAATAACTCCAGCAGTGACCTCACCAAAATTGAAACCAATTTTTAAACGAAAATTAAAGTTAAAGATGCTCTCATTGAATTGCTGAATCTTTTGCAAAAGTTCTTGAGAAAACTCCATAAGAGCATACAAATGAGCATTAGGATTCTGGTTGTCTAAACGTTTAATTTCGTTTAGACCAGACGCAGCCATAAATGTACTGCTGATTGTCTTAATCTTTTCTACATCCTTAAAACGTACTTCATCCAACAAATCTTCATAATCACTGTATAGTTCGTTCAGAACTCGTAAATATTCACGTCCACCTTCATAAGATTCATCATAAAATTCATTAAAATTTACAATTGTGGCAAAAATGACTCCAATATCTTTATGATTTTTTGAATATGTTGATGTTTTCTTCACTTGTTCTGAGATATGATCAGGAATAATGTTATGAAGCAACCACTCTGCCTGCTCTTTGTTTTCTTGCATCTGACGTCTGTCAGCATCGGCCTGAACACTTCCAAAATAACTCAATCGATAACTGACATCAAATTCACGACTCATAAAGAGAATTAATAACAATAACAGTATAATATCCAATATAATTTCATAACGTAGAGTATTTTGTCCAGAGAAAAGGTGATCAGCCAGACTGGGCACGGTTCTGTTGACATTGTACACAGAGTCTGGGTACGTGTTGTTTACAATCACGGTTGTAAAGTCACTGATCATGGTAGTATTCACGTAAAATTCACTAAGTGGACAGAAACGTACATTGAGTAAAATGAGTAAGGTTATTCCAGCTAAAACTACTATCACTGATTTGACCCATGCACTCAGCATAGTAAAATTACAGAAATGCAGTAACGAAACAATGATAGCGAAACAGAAAAATCTGTCTCTCCATTCGTCATTAGTAGCTAGAGCACATGATAAATTAGAATACACGGTAATTAGTGGTAGACTAGCAATAACAGCTCCCATAAAATTACGGAAATACCATCCTGATAGAATATGCATCAACGAACCACATTTTTCTTTCTTCTTTAATCCATATTTGACGTCTGTTACAGACTGTATAAGGACGACTAATTCAATAATCAACGATATAATGAATACTATATTTAAGACTAGGTGAGCTCCGAACATAGTATAGCAACATATTGACACTAAAATGAACACGATTAACGATAGCGTGGATTCAATTAAAGAGTGGGTACGAGGGGAGGCAACTGTCTCCTCCTTTCCAAATTGACTCTCCAAATAATGATTTCGGAAATCATCCTCCATGTGAGGTTTGTTGAATCGTAGCGTAAATTTGTTGATTTCTGGTTCATAGAAAAAGGATTTATCTTTAATATCTTCTTTAACACATTGTATAATTTGATTGTCCGTCTGCTCTTGAATTTTCTGTAGCATATTCAAAGTGGTGTTTATTGGAACTATACAGGAATCAACAGCTTCTACATCTGAAAGAAAAAGATAATAATTGTTTTAATATAGGATATATTTCAAAAGAATATACACATTAATTGAATAAACATGTTAGCTGACATCTTAAGTTAAGTTAGATATTTCAACATTTTTATAGTAGAAACACTTATAAAGGGAGATAGCTGTCTATATATATAGACCTTATTCACTCCTCAATTTTGAGACTCTGAAAGCGAGGTTCATAACGCAAATTACGTCATCCATTAATATTATGGCAAAGTGATATGAATGAAAAGTCTACATGATGTCACAAAACACCTGATCAACAGTGAGAAAATTGGCTTAAAACTGCCCTTTCTGAGTAATGTTTGATGGTAAACTTCATTTGAAAGTATCATTAAAGATGGGTTTCCTTGTTTTTTAGTGTCAAATTAAGCAAACTATTTGAATAATTGGTGTTTCTAATGAATTATCATGTATTCTTAATCATATCATTATGCATATAATTAAAATTTTGAACCAATCACAAATGTCCATGTATGTGCAGTCTGGATAAACAAAAGGAGACTTTTTGACCTTTCTTGATCAGTCACTCATTGGAGTTCTGCTGGTAATTATGCTAATTATGAATTAATTATGGAAATGTAAAACAAACTGGTATTTAGAACACTTCTATTTTGTATTCACATAAGTATTAGCATTTTCATTTTCAGAAATGAAAATAATGAAACCCATCTTTAAATAGCATAACGGTAATCAACCCAACTGTTTTAACAATGTAAAATATGATTAGTTTTGATGTTCTAGGACTGGAGAAGGAGACTTCTAGGTGGTGATTTTACTGCAGTTACACCACGTTACCTTTGTTTGTTTGCGTTATGAGCCTCGTTCTGGCTTCAATATGGCCGAAGCGTGAATAAGGTGAATTTGTTTTTCCAGCAAATAGAGCTCAATCTCGGCTATTTGCAGCACTTTCCAGAATAAGAACTTGGCATCTAGTTCTCCTGCAAATCAACAAATGATTTCATGATCTTTTTTTTTTTTGCAGAAGAACTGGAACTGAATTGAAGATTATTAGCAAACATTTCCATGGCTATATGATTTGAAATAGATTCTACAGATTTGTTCTTACTAGAATGATATGTATATTGAAATTATCAATTGATCAGATTTTTCTGAAATCACAGAACAACAGGTGTTGAATAGTGCATGTAAAGTTATATACAATATAAAACCATTTTAAATTCTTTTAAGAGAGCAGAGAAAGAAACATAATTAAAAATAAAAAAAAGGATTTTAAATGTAAATATAGAAGACCTAAAGTTAAAAGTTGTGATCATGCATGTTGAAATAGGTGTCATGCAAAGAAAAGAAACATACATAGTACCCAACCACATCATACAAATAAAAGTGAAGGAAAAATTCTTCAGGAAAAACCCTTCAAAACAACCATAACCAAAGTATGGAAAATACTTATATAATAATGCCTTAAGTTTAAATTAGCAATGAATGCTATATCAAATTGCATATTCAAAATTGTTATATCATGGTTAAAAAATTTGAAAATCTTAATATAAACAAATGTGAAGAAAGGGATTAAGAATTTGTACACAGAATCCCCCTTTTAAGAAACTTTCATTAGTAAAAGAAAGAAGGCAAAAAAATATTTGTTAATAGAGTGGAAAATGAATGCAAACAAAATGAAAGAGAAAGAATACCAGTAGGAGGAGCTTGTGAAGTGATTGGCAGGTAAGGATGATATGTGTATAAACAATATAAATTAGAATCACTAGAAGATTTTCTATAAGTTGGTTGACGTATACAGCATGTTGAAGATAAACCTAATAATATTGATAGTCAATGAGAATTAGAAAAGGAAAAACAACAATGTATATAGATTGATCTTTGATTTCAATTCTTATTTTGGTCATTGCCGGTATAAAAATTATCATCAAGTTGTCTCTAAGAATGGTTCCAATTTTTTAGACTTTAGGCCTAATACCTTCACAATTTCAAGCTATTACAAACTTCGTCTACTATCTTGACAGCAATCATAACCATTTTTCTTGTATCACAGAAGTGATTTGATTGGATAGTACGCCACAGCCAATCAGAAGCATTGACAAGAAGTCTGGAAACACTATTCCATAATCTTGACAGCCCTTCTGTCGAGATCTTTGATTGGCAGTATTTGCTGGCATACAATCCAATCAAATCGCTGCATTCTATGATACAAGAATAGTAGCTATTGATGTCAAGATAGAAGTATGAAGTATGTAATAACTTGTCACTGTGAAGATGTAGGCCTAATTACAACTCAAAATACTTTTTAACAAAAGTTTGAATGGTCAAACCAAAACAAAAGGAAACAAAATAATGCAAATAAACATAAAATAAGCAACAACAAAACATCACTTGGTGTATCTTAAGAACATAGTTATCTCCCTTGAATCAGAATAAGACATCAGGGCTGTTCGATTGACAAGCTCTGCACGTTCTGGATTCATGTTATCATTCATAAGTTCAATAAAACAATTTGAAACAGTGTTTAGAATATGTTCCATGGGTGCAGATAAAAAAGTGACAAAGAGAGAGGAATTAAAGGGCAAATTTTCAATGTGACATGTCCTGTTTCAATTGACGCCAGAATTGGAATGGACTGAACCTTTTGAGAACTCACCTATCGGGGCCACCAAAGAGGGAAGATACAACTATGGTGAAGCAAAGATATTTATGCAAGTCAAGGGACAATCTAGCACTATATTTTAGTAGTAGTTTAAGTAGTCAGGGTCCGCATTTCCACAAAATAAGCCAGATATCCTCAAATATAATAAGAATTTTACAGTATTTTGTCTGAAGGCAGGCCCAAGTAAAATCTTGTGACTGGCGTAGTATGAGGGCAACTGGATTTTTCGTCGTCTGCTAGCTACTAGTAGCATCTGAGAGAATCTGAATAATGGCTTTGTTAAAGGAATTGTAGGACATTTTCTGCATTTTTTATGTGCATCGGGCCCTTTATGGCTTCTAATTGTATCATTCTAATTTTCCACTAAATGTCTGTGGTTCTTGTCATTTGATTGAAATGCCTTAATGCGTAATTTAAGTGTAAGTGCAAGGCCCACAAACGCATTGGTCATATCAGAGAGCTTGATACACATAAAAAATGTAGAAAATCTCTTACAATCCTTTTAAGTTAACACATTGCTATTACAAACTTCATCTTATACCTTGACTGGAATAGCCACCTTTCTTATATCATTGAAATGTATTTATAAAATAATTTGATTGGATTGTACATTAATAAATACAGCCAATCGGAGTCATCAACAGAAAATCTGTAAACATCAAGCCATAATGTTTATAGTATCTCTGTCAAGGGCTCTGATAGGTTGTATTCACTTCATACAATCAAATCAAATCACTTCATTCTGTGATACAAGAAAGGTGGCTATTGCAGTAGAGGTATGAGATGAAGTTCGTAATAACTGGAGGATCAGAATCATAGACCTAGGTGATTGGAATATGTGACCAATCCAGTTGATCTGGTTTTGAATCCTCAGTTGACGTTAGTCTAAATTTAGTATCACATCAAGCCTTATTAACAGTAGTTCACAAATAAAGTGAAAGTAAACATATACAAACCTTTATCATCAGTAATTTTATCTAAAGACATTTCACTGGTTGCATAAAATCCACTACTATGACGTCTCCTCAATAAGGTAGACACTCCATTAGCACCAGAATTCTGAAATATATTCAATATACATTGTTAACCTTTTACTGGCTGTCTGATTATACTTACATTTCCGTCTATGTACTTTTGTGGGATAATTCATGTTAAGAGGGAGCATATTAACCAAAATTCATAGATTTATATTTCAATGTCAGTCCCATGACCTCTGATGGGGACAACAAGTTAAAAAATCTGAAGGTATATTCCCAGCTGTACCAAGATTGAACCTTCAGATGAGTGAGCAAGCATCAAACCACTAAACCATTGTAGCTCAGTGGCTTAGCCAGGTTTCCGTCTGAGAGGGGGCTACACACCTGAGATTGCCCAAATTTCTAACCTAGTTATGAGATTTTTGCCCTAAAATCTCTCTTTCTGGGCTGCCAGGGGGGGGAGACTGACCCCTCTGTCCCCCTTTGGATCCGTCATTGCTGTAGCTTCAAATATTGGATTGTCAAGACACTGTAAATAACCAGTCATTATTTTAAACATTATGTGGGAGATAACTAGACTATCAAGATTATGAAAGCAATTGTACAAACATGTTAAAATAATTTAGAAAGAAAATAAAAGTAGTACCTCTCTGTCTAGGTGATTAGTAATTTGTTGACCAGCTCCACATGGTGAGGTTTCTCTTGATTTCTCAGACTGAAACATAAAGGCACTGGACATCATATACAATTCAGAGAATATTCGTGTAAATTCACAGTCCAACTTCACTAAACTAGTTTGGGCTAATGAGGACAGACAAAGCCATGCAGTGTTAAATGAGTGAATTTTGTCAGACAGGCAAATTGATCTATCTAATTGACACATACATACAACTAAATGCTTTTTTGTTTGACAGCTGTCCGACCTGCATCATTGACAGGAGAAAACAGGGTTGATCCAAAAAAATCATCTTGTCCCATGCCAGGTACAATCTTTGACCTTGCAAGCCTAACTAACTGGAATAAGACTGAGACCAAGTTTAACCAAATCAACACTTTATATTTGATAATATAATTTAACAAGAGTTACTTCCCTTCAATTATACTTGGTCAAAGGACACACAGTACAATGAAGCAGTTTTATGTCCTACTACGCTGCTCTAGATCTTGAACATTTTTAAAAAGACAATTGCAGAGGTTTTACTCTTTCCACACTTTTCTCCAATGTGCATGTCATATTATGGCTCAGTTTGTCCCATCTGAACAATTAGACTAATTTGACACTTTATCCACATCAGTACCTACGTTAATAGGAAACCAGGCTT